AGATCAAGTTGCCCAATTTTCCAAGAAATATTCTCAAGACTTACAAATTGAAAACCATATAATGATCTTTATGTCGTTTCTCAAGAAATGCAACTGTAGAAGACATTGGATTCCTGTAAAACCACTCATATCCACCGCTAGGGTATCCCATAGCTATTATTCTATCTGTGATATCTAAAATAACTCGATGCTATAATAAAGTCCAACCTTCTTATTACCGCAAAAAAGTTAAGACATGAGTAACAATAGAATACTGGAATTTAAACGAAAAAATAACGAAAATTAAAGAAAAGGTAAACTAATTTTTGATAAACAAACAGGTTAAGTCCAGGTCAAATCCATCTTCCCTAAAACGACGTCTATTTTGCGAAACCAATTGGCGTAAGGGCCGAAAAGACTTTTCAAAAAAATTTCTCGGTCCCCCTGCATGGAAAGCCCTAGTAAAAGACCCGTCTTCTTGCTACAAAGAGAAAAACATATTAGAAAAACCAATTAGATAAAAAAAAGAAGACTATAAAGTAATTTTCAGTTTCACTTGCCGGTTCAGAAGCCATATCAACACTGACTCTTTTATTATTTATTTCTTCCATACGACTTTCTGGAAACCGCTTTGAATTTTCATCAGAACGAACGCAAAAGTCCTCTGAAAAAAGTAATTTTATAGATTCTGACACCACCCAACAATTCCGAAAAAGCCTTCAAAAAAATTGCAGATCGAAAAAAGGCAAAAAAAATGCTCATTCCAGAAATACTGAATGGAAATAGGAGCTCAGAACCATTACAAGAGAAAAAATATCGAAAACGTCAGAAAAAAGTTGTCTGAGCCATTTAGTGATTCAGAAGAACAACCAGTAGAGCATTATTCACTTTCAGTGTAAGTACAGGGTACACAGTGAGCGAATTTTTAATAAATCCCTTCGAATCATCATATTTCTAAACATAGCTGCGACAAAAAGAATTTGCTAGATAAAAACTTCCTAATCGTTCAAGAGCAACTCAAACGGCTACACCGTAAAAGAACTTAGATGTCAGCTATTAAAATTAAAAGAATAGAATATGTGACCTTTACTTTCATTAATATCGGTGCGAGATGATCCCGACGCTGTCGGCTTTTTAACAATATCCATGTAAAATGGTGTTTAGAATTCGATAACCTAAATCTGAAAGTAGTGAAGCCTGTGACTGACACAAGCCGTAAGATTCTAAATGGCAAGAAAAGAGGGATTATCAGATACTATTTCCCAATAACCAAAACAATTTTATTACTTTACGAAATATGTGCTGGTACCACTCATTCTTTTAGAATAGAGAATTAACAATATTATACAAGAACACCACCAACACCCAGCGAGATCTCGTAATCTTGGTGTCTTCTTCAGCTTAGGAGGAAATTTCTTAGAAAAAAGAAAAGTCAATGAATCAACAAATTAGTTTTAAAAAAAACTGACCGTCAAACTACAAAATTATTTGATGTAAAACTATTACAAATGCCTCTGTAGACGAAATAGCTGTTCATAACTGACAAGTCGAGGGATACTTAGAATCACAGTTACAGCATTAGTGAAACTCATATCAGAAATTTTCACTTAGCCTTTAAAGGGGCGCTAATCGTTCGTAATCTGTCCCTTTCACTACTTGTTCAGATCACCAAGATCAACCGACGCACAAAAACAGATGCAGCCAGACAAATACACTTACATATACCTTTGAATACGCGAGAATAGGAACACATACGCAGACACAGATACATACAAACAAACGCCGAGGAATACAAACGCACAGACTCAACAGACAAACAAACAAACAAACAAACAAAACAGAACAAAACAAACATACGCACACAAAATACACACGCAGACTACCCGTACACTAACCCATAAATTCACAGAACAAAAAATACCATCAACGTCCAAAAGTAATGAAAAAACAAAATAAAAGAACTTCTCAAGGAGAAAAAATTCAAGTAAAATCAGAAAAAGAGAAAAAAACTCACCACTTAAAGAACCCAACAACGGCGTCAAGCTGCCGACTCTATTGAGGTCTGTTTGCCCATTTAAGCGACTGCATTTAAGAAACTATTAATACGTAACGACTAATGCAGACAAGGAAACAAAAGGTCGGAAGGTAATATGAAACATCAACTGAAAACTTTAAAATACCGTATACATCCTGTTGCAAAAAATTCTTTTTATTTTGCTCAAATAAAAAAGCTATAGATTCCCTAAAACCAGCAGTTCCCGACTGCCCTGTATCTTCAGCTAGGTGCTGAAAAAAAGGACTAAGTCTATCAAGAAAAACTTCTTTTTTGGCTATTAATACTTTTCATCAAAGTCAGATTAACAACACTGGACTGACCAGAATTCAATAAATCAATTTTACATTCCGTTCAATGCATTTGACTTTAAAAGAAAAAATCATTAAATAGAAAAACTCCATGTACCTTGCGAAGAACAACACATCAGCCATTTGCCGATTGTTTAGACCTCACCTCAGCTTGCCGGTTCACAATTTAGGCGAATCATTTTCTGCAGGACAAAAATCGGTTTGTAATTTAGTATCAACAGATTCAAAAATACACTTTGGCGGGATATTTATGAGTCTTCCGGACCGCTAGTTTCTGGCTTTTATGTTACCCAATTTTTTTCAGTTCTCCAGAAGATAGGTTTAGCTAAATTTTTTTTTCTTTGGTTCTCGACCTTCAATTTTTTCCTCATCACAATTAATGGTAATGATGAAAAAAAATCAATCTTCACTTCAGACAGCTACTAAATTTCATAGAACTTTGACTTTCACTTCTCCCCAACAGTCTTGATCATTCAACTGCCTTAGAAAATTCGGACCTGATTGACTGGATCAAATGGAATTTACATACATCAATCGAACTGCGAAAATGCATCAAAACACTTATCACAGAAAGACTGAGCTGAGTAAAAAAAGTACGGCAAAATATGCTTAGAAAGATTATAAGGATTTGACTTATTTTTTGACCAACATCGACCTACAACAGTTTTGACAAAGTTGGAAAGCTGGCAAAAGAAACCTGAAGACACCAGTCAAAAGAAAGACTTATCATGACGATCAGAGGTTTCTAAAAAGAACACTACCAAAAAGCCACCCTTCATCTGTGTTAACAAGAACTTTGGACATGTTCCCTCGTTCTGGTGGACTGTTTGCGACAAATTAAAATTGTTTAATCCATTTACAATTAATTATGAAACAATCTCCTATACAGAACCACGCTAGTCGTTACTTATTTCAGGAACCTATACGAGAGCACTGTTCTTGTCGACTTCGTTACCTCAAACAAAGAATTCAGAAACGTTCACTTCATTACTCCGATAAGTATATCAATCCGGCAAATTACTGTTGTTGTACAGCAAAAAACCACTTGTTTCATAAAATCCTTTCTGGACACCACTCGTGTTTTCATATTACAGCGCTATAAAAGCACTGTGCCAAAGTATCCGACCAGCGCAATAATGCTGTCATATGTTTAAACAATCGAAGCCAAAAATGGCATTTTACTGATCTAAGAGTCACAATACCTCTTCTCAACAGCTATCCAGCACAAATATTTACAACTTCTTTTAAGTATGAATTTTAGTAACGTAGTTCCGGATTCCAGTTCTACATTCTAAAACGTGATTTGTCCTTTCAATCAAAACTCACTAAACAATAAGTTCCCATCAAAATTAATACTGCAAGATTTAGCAACTTCGTCCAGGAAAGACCCGTAAGTCAAAGGTTTAAAGCAACTGAATAGGTATCGGGATCTACAAAATTACCATGTCACAGTCCTGGACAGGCAAAGTCAATATCAGGCATTACCAACTGTAGGTGGCAATACATAGAAAACAATGTGAGCTTAAAAGTAACACGTAGGGGAAATGAGCGATATGGATCAAAAAAAACAGAACTGAGGATAAAAATCTCTACTTATGTAGCAAAATATTTGCTCTGATCGACTCTGATCGAGTAACACGAAATTGCGAACTACAAGGTAAAAATTTGCCAAAACTATTTCCCACCAAACAAGATAAAACTATACTAGATATTTAAGAGAAGGCATTCACCATCTTCGCCAAATCGCAAAACTTTTATTTAAGACAACCAACTAGTGGGCTTCTAGATCGTCACAAGCGTTTTGGTTCGAATTATATGACCAACTAATCTGAAAAGCAAGTTTAAATCGTTTTACTTTCTTGAAGGTAGCTGACAAATTACAACGACTATAGGACGAAATTGTTGACAATAAAATAGCAGATTCTTGTGGTCAAATGTTGACCACCCTGCCTCTAACAATGTATAACAGCTCCAAGGCAATACGTACAATAAAAAATGTTCTTTTCTCCCTCAGTAATAAGTCAACATCAGTTACATTTTGTAACAGTCACTTTTGAAGACCTCAACGGCAGTTCTAATCCTGCTTACCAACATATCCATTTGCTTAAATGCAAAGAGGCTTCAGCATCACAAATACGATAATCGCTTAAGTGCATTTTCTTCATTATATTTTATAAAAGTTTCATTAATCAAAAGTACAGCATTGACAAAAAAAAAAAAAAATCAAGCAGCTTTCTAACCACTCCCCTTGTTGCAGCCGTTAAGGGTCACTAATAGTTGGTTTAAAAGATTCCATAAAGGCAGCCTTAAACCCAAGATGGGATCGAATCGAGTACAAAGTACTGTTTCGTAACCCGTCCCTTGGCAAAGTGCTAAGAAAATTACCCACCAAATAGCTCCAGAAACAGATCAGCAGTTAAGCGCGAGGTATGAAAAATAATAACTAGTCCTCCTCTAGTGAAAAAGGCGCCGTCAGTGACACCAATAATGGTCTCTGAAAAGGCAATTTGCGGCCAAGATTAAATGCTCAGATTCAGACTTTTATTTCAAAATAAACCCAATAAGTAATAGGAAAACCGCATAGATCGCCAACTGTCACTTTTAATCGACATCTTAGATGCGAGTAGTATCTTTAAGCACCTTGGATGAAAAAGTTTCCCACCGGATAAAACGATCAGGATGCCTACACGTAGTAATAAAATCATATCATCTTCAGTTCAAAAATCATTGCTATCGCCTCCTGAGCGCCAAGAATATATTGAGTTATAAGGCTATTAGCAACAAAAAACCACTTGCTTGAGTCAGATTGCTCAGACCCATATTATTGGAACGGTGTACGGCAGTGACGTATTCTGAACCACACTTGAATAGATTGATACGGTCTAGCGGAATACGGCCAGTGAGTGAGGGGAGACTAAGAAGGAACACGACAAGATTGGTAATAATATTTGTATGTATGTTTTTTTACCACAGCACTGAACAACTGCAAGTAGCAAAATTAGTGAATAAATTCACAGAC